TATGTAATATACAGTTTATAGTAACGGTATATAGCTAATGTAGTACTCATATATAGTAGTATATAGTTGTTAAATAATACAGTTTAATAGTAGTGTATAGTAATTAGTATAACAGTATATAGTAGTCAAAAGTATGTAGTCATACAGATTATAGTGTATAATAGTATGTAGTATAGCAGTATATAAGTAGTATTGTGCTGCAGTACGGCACAGCCAGTCCAGTGTGTCTGGGTAATTCTGTCAACACGGAGTTAGTGTTCACCTCTGTTTAACAGCCACCTGTGTATAGAGGACGATTCGGGCTTTTTTTCTGTGTGGCAGTGAAGCAACCTCACTAGGACGAACACCTAGAGCTCTATAAAGGACTATTTCTGGCTTCGATACTGAAGGATGGGTTTTGTGTTATTTCAGGGTAATACTATAGAAGGTGGAATTATCATGGTGCAAGAGGGTGTGCCGGCGCAGGCGCCTACCATCCCGAGCGTCCTACACTAGGTGGCGCTACGTTGTGTTCACGCTAAGCGAGCGGCGCGAGAATGAACCGCCGTTGAATATTGACATGCTCTACTTACCGTACTGATGACATCACGACGATACTCACACACCGACCAGGACAACATGTGCTCTACTTACCGTACTGATGACGCGAGGTGAAGTGCTTTGGTCTTGCTTGGATGTTCACGCTTTTCTTCTGTGCGGTTCTAGCTTTTTTCACGACGATACTCACACCAGGCCCGAGCAGGAACAACATGTGCTCTACTTATCCGTACTGATGAGATCACGGACGATACTCCACACACCGACGGCACGACAACATGGTGGCTCTACTACCTGGACTGAATGACAATCACGACCAATACTCGCACACCGACCAGGACAACATGTGCTCATGCTCTCAAAACATTTCACTCGCATTTGAGTCGTGTACCATACCAAGATATCAGCATAAGAACAGACCAAGATATCAGTGTTTCTTGAACTGTGCCATCGAGTTCAAGTTATCATTGTCTCCTAGTCTGTACCTTCGTGGTTGAGATATCAATATGTCTTGGACTGTACCTTCGTGGCCAAGTTATCAGTGACTCTTGGACTGTACCTTCGTGGCCAAGTTATCAGTGACTCTTGGACTGTGCCATCATGGTCAAGATATCAATGTCTGATAGACTGTACAAGTGTAGTCAAGCTATCGTTGTCTCTTTGACTGTGCCATCATGGTCAAGATATCAATGTCTGATAGACTGTACAAGTGTAGTCAAGCTATCGTTGTCTTGGACTGTACCATCATGGTCAAGATATCAATGTCTGATAGACTGTACAAGTGTAGTCAAGCTATCGTTGTCTGGTAGACTGTGCCATCATGGTCAAGACAGGTGGTTAAACTTGAGATATTAAATCTTTCACATATGACGATCTAGTAGACTCTGTCAAACTGATCACCTGTGTGAAATCTCTATAGCTGGTAGTGATGAGAACAATGTATTGCAGCCTGAACTCCTTCTGACTCCCGTTCATTGCTCATTACGTAAGCTTACCAAACCTTATGTTATCCACCAGCTGTCACGCAACTCATGTGGATATATATCTATATATATATATGAGTTTCCGATATAGGAATTACTGCATGTATACCTGTATGCAGTGAGATAAGACAAGTTATGCGTGCATGTGTAAGGTGGCGCCGCCTGTGATCTGCAACTTGACTGTGATTATTGGAGCTACTTGAATTGGCATGTATGATGTATTAATGATGATGATGTATGATGTATGGATATTCTACATGGATGATGTATTAATCAGTGATTGTGTATACGATGTATATATTCGATAAATTTTATGATAAACTTGACGTTTGCGCCTTTTTGTGAGTGAAACGATACGCGTCCGCGAAGCAGACTACTTACACCGAGACGGCGATCACTCTCAATACAAATTTTACAGGTTATGTGGATCGCTCGAAAAGTGGTTAAGTTTTCAACTATAACAGTTGGAAGCAAACTTTTGTGTTTATCCGATATGGTATGTAAATAGAATATCACAAGCTGTACTTCGTTAAATTTTGTGCACTTATTGTGAAAATGAAAATACAAATATAACTATTTCATCTATCTTGAGTGAGCGGAAGAATCCATGTCAAATGTGAAAATAGCTAATGTTTCCTAGCCCTTGTCACAAGCTCGATAGACATGCAACGAACTGTCGATGTCCCAGGCAACACCTGACAGGGTTCAAACAAATAGACATTACCTAACTGCCGATGTGAGGGAGGGGGAGCCAATGTCTATATCAGTGTTATCACTGACGAATTAACCATGCACGGCCACCGCCCCGTCTGTGACACGGCCTTTGGCAGGCTTCGTTAACGAGTGCAAATGCTTAGTGGACTCTACTAGTACTGTTCATCAAGGCGCAGCGGACTGGAAAATAAGGCACAGCTGCGTGAAATAGACTATATACACTGCGGCGGTTCGCACATGCCACCATGGGGAGGAACACTTTCTGTCACCTAGTCTTTTCTTTGGATCCGTGCGCTGGCTTTCATTATGGCGCACGGATTCACCATGTTATCTTTTCTTTTTCCTCTGCCGCGCGCACCTCTCTTCTATGCGCGGCCAGTGCTCCATGTTTGGCCATCTTCCATATCATCATTTCAGTTACACTTGCATCACTTACACGGGATAATTATGTGTTCATGATGTAAAACTCGTGTTGGTGGAAAAACCTTTTCACATTAATGATTGATCGTCCACCATTCTCTTATTAAGGACCAATTATGGACGATTGTCCTCTTCCTCTTCCTCCATCCCCCCCCCCTCTCTCTCTCTCTCTCTCTCTCTCATGCGGTGCTCTCTTCTCTCATCTCTCTCCGTCAGTCATGCTCTCTGCTTCTCTCTGCTCTTCTCTCGTCTCTCGTGCTCTCTCTTCTCTCTCTCCTGTCTCTTCTGTCTCTCTCTGCTGCTCTCTCGTCTCTTCTCTCGGATCTCTCTGCTCTCTCTCTATATACTATACTATTATATATATAATATTATATATATATATATATATATAGTGCGAGACGCACACATGCGTACACGGCGCGACACGTATCGGGTCGACGACGCGACGTTCCTGAACACAGCGTGGCGGAGGGATGGCCGTGACTCGACGCTCCACACGGCGGACATCCTCCTCCGTAATGCGCTGACCCTGTCCAACACAGACGCACGATAGGTTAGTAGTTTCACGCAAGACTCTGCTGTGCCAATTGTATGCGCACACGTACACACACAACCACAACACGCAGCGCAGTACGCCAACACACAACGCACAGGCACGCAACAGACGCAAACGCACACGCACCACACACAGGCACGCACGGCAGCGCACAGGCAACGAGCGCTTAGTCAAAACACGCCATATAATCAAGAGTAATAATAGAGCTCTATATATGATGTAATCTGCTGTGTAATATGATGAGAACTCTCTATGATCTACTGCTGATATAATGTAACCACGTGTACGATAAAGATTCTGGCTAACAGTACAATCACTGGTGGTGTCTTACCGCACTAAACCTGTTTGATGTGTCCGCCGCATAGCTGATGCTGGGCGGCGATTGCATACGGCGTCACGCACACGACCCACACACGTTACGCACAACCACGTACGCACACACGTAACCGCACACGCACACACACCGTAACACGGCACACGGTAACACCACGGGTACACGCTATCACACACCACACACACGGTACAGTACACAACACGTACAGGCACACGTAGACACACACCCGTACACGCACACACACACGTACCACACGCACACACACCTACGTAGCAGCACACGTCACACACCGTAACACGCACGACACACACACACACGTAGCACGTACACAACACGGTACCGCAGCATCGCACACGTACACGGCCACACGCTACGCCACACACGTACGGCACGACCGCCCACACACGGTGACACACACACGCACACACACGTACACGACACTACACAGCGCATAACACGTACACCACACACGTACACGCACACGTACGCAGCACACGTACGGCACAGACGCACAACACACACGTAGCACACACACGCACACGCACGCACACGACACAAACGTACACGCGCCAACGCGTCACACGCACAACGTAGCAACGCACGCACGCACACGTACACGCGGCACTACGACGCGCTACACCACAGTACGACAGGCACGCACGCACACAGTACACGTGCACACACACGTACACGCACGCACACACATCACACACACCGCACACACACCCACCAACAACGTACACGCGCACCACAGCCGTACATGCACACACATGTAACACACGTACACGCTCGCGTTTCTCTCTTCTCTCTCCTCTCCTCTCGTCTCTGTCCTCTCTGGCATCCTCTCTCTCATCTCTCTCTCATCTCTCTTTTCTCAAAGTGATTTTCTCTCTGCTGCGTCTCTCTCTCTCTCATCTGTTTCTCCTCTCTCTCTCCTCTCTCTCATCTCTCTGTTGCTCTCCTTTTCTCGCGTTATATATATAACTCGCGCTTTTTCCGCAGTTATCGTTTCCTTATCACGTTCCTTCTCCGACCTCTCCGGATAGTATTCGCCCACGACCAGTCAAGGCGTGAAAATCTTTTCACAAAAAAAGACCGTATTTTCAGGCGAAAACTTTTTCACGCCCTGCCGAGGACAAAGTCATTTACCCTATACATACCCGCGTGTGCGGCCCGTCCCGTGTGTAGTATGTGTGTTTGTGTGACTGGTAAAACGAGTATTATAGCAAGTATCTCCGCACATTTTTGTGGCTTTGGGGTGAAAAAGTCGAGGCTGAAAACCCGCGGCGCATCTTGCCTGGCTACTTCTCACACGTGCAACGGATGCCGTAGGCGCATACTATCCGCGCAGAGGGGGGAATACTGGGGACAGGGTGTGAGAGGGGCGCATGAGCACGCATGCTTCAGCTCCCTGCGGAGGATAAAGGCACGGTAAACGGCACAACTCGGCACCATATCTCGGCTTCTAATATAGTTGCTTCTCTCGCCTTCTCGCCTCACCTCCTCCTCTCCGTGACATCTCACTCTCGCCTCGCTCTCCCCCCTTCTCCTCTCCTTCCTCTCTTCTCTCTCCTCCTCTTCTCCTTCTCGTTCTCTCTGTCTCCTCTCTCTCTCTGTCTTTCTCTGATCTCGCCTCTCTCACAATATTTTTTTTTCACGCACGCACGCACGCACGTACACACACACGCGCACACACATACACACACGCTCTCTCTCGCTCTCGCAATTCTTCTCTCTTTCTCGGGCGCTATATATATACATATAAACATATATACATATATAGATATACATATACATATATATATATACATATACATATATATGTGCACACACATGCGCAGTCACACGCCTATAATACGTGTGCGATATACGCGCACGCGCGCGCGCGATCATACCTGCGTGTGCGCGTCCGTACGTGTGTATGTATGTGTGTTTTGGCTGAAAAACGGCCAGCCACCTGGTGGTCATCTATCGTACTATTTCTTTGATGTGTGCCGCCGCAGACGTCGGTCTTGTGGGCGATACCATTTGACGAGACGGCAGGGGTGAGGTAATGCAGATGATTTATATCTATTATAGCTGCCTATGTATCATCGTTGCTGTTATCATAGTTCGCCTTATTGCTTCTACTTTCCTCTACTGCATCGTTAGTGTCCACTAGCCATCAATAAACCTAATATCGATTAATTTTCGTGGCGCTATCTGTACGTATATGAAGATAATAAAATCTAATCTGTTCAGAGTTTAGTGCGAACTTTTACATCGCATCGTCTGCTAGCGCTCGTTCGTGGCGCCATCTAGCTGCCGGCGGTGGTAGCTCCTGGTGCCTTACTCGGAGCACGTATGTTTGCTTATGTCACTGCTACCGCTCTCTCTAATCGCGGGTACAAGGGTCACAACTGTAGCATAGCCGCTGCCATTCAACGTTACATACTGCCATATATTATATGTTCCCCGTGTTTGCCCGTGCGCCTCGCGTGGACTACCCCAGTGTCTATTCCTTCTTTCGGCGATCATGCAGACTAAAGGTAGGGTAGGATGTCGCATGTACGTCTCCAGGCGTGTGTGCGCGCGTGCGCGTGCGTGTGTTTGTCGTCGTCAGTTTCTTAGTCATCGAGAAGCGACGATGTGATCGTCTGCTGTTTTTAGTTTTCTTCGAAATTCTGATAAATATCTTCTGCGCCGGTAACGCCCGCTCGCGGCAGGGCATGACTCATCAGTGACGTCATCGGTGACGTCATCGGGGGCCTCCTAAAACCGCTAGAAAGTCCGTGGATACGGTGTTAAGACGACCGGGGGCATGCGAAGGCGAACGCTCAAAAACTAAGTATATTTCTATTGCAGGCGGGGTGGCGGGGGGGGGGGGGACATAAAACGTGTGAGTGTACTAGCAGCGCTACATATACCCCGATGTCTAGCTTGCAGCCAAATAACAAGTACTTTTACGATGGCAAAGGCTGAGTAGTATTCACACGATCGATGTTACTGCTTATTTTTACGTGAGAAAAAACGCTGACGCTAGCGTGTGGTGTGTGTTAATTCTTCGAATTTTAACAACAACAACAACAACAAATGAAAAACTATATAGACTGAAACGCCTAGTAATGCTCATAGGGTCTATGTCCCCCAGGATACTGCCGGAACGTACCCTGGGTAAGGTCCGGTATACCGGAACGTACCCTGGTAATTATTTGATATGGTTAGGGTTAGGGTTAGGGAGTAGGCGTAGGCGGTTTCCTAGACTCGTTAGTGGAGTAGGCGAGGTACGGTCCGGCATATTATATAGTTCCAGGGTACGTTCCGGTATACCTGACCGTACCCAGGGTACGTTTCGGCAATACCCTGGGGGACATAGACCCTCTCAGCCCTAGTAATAGTTAGATAGTCACAAGAGATCTATTGATTCGAGAAAACTGTTGAGTCGACGGCTTTTGATAGGTATCATTATGCGAATGAGGACGTAGTAATTCTAGCAATAAATTCGCCTCTTTTACGAGATTAATTTGATTGTCTCTCCCACTCTTTCCGTTCAGCAGGTACCAGTCACTAGCGAGCAGAGCTGAGGTGTGCAGGTGGCGCCATGCGGTGGCGGGAATGCAGACTATACGCGGAAGGCAGACTGCTGCTGGCAGTGACACTGCTCTCTATCGGCGGCCAGGTATGTTGTTAATTACAGCCCACCTGTCTCCATCCGACTTATCTGCCGACACACCTGCCTCTCAATCGTCCATGTTTATTTAAGCGAGTTTAAGCTAGTTTTATGTCAATTTTATGCCAATGTTAAACTAAATTTAAGCCAGTTTTAAGCCACTTTAAGGTCACTAACTTCATCCGGAGTTTCATTGATATCTAATATTAATATATAGCGTTAATAATATTTAACTATTAAATGTTAAGTGACTTAATGTTTCTCCTTGACGCTGAATTTATCGGTGCTACGTCACAAGATTGCGTTTCAATAACAAGTGACTGCCATCTTGCTTTTACACACAGCTGCTCTCATCCGTCGACGCAGCAGAGAGATTCTGCGGCGTCGGGGTTGCCCCGGGTAACGGCAGCGAGGATGCAGGCAGCTGCACGCCATTGGTCGACACCGACGACGTCTGCTGTATCGGCGCGTGCCCAACCGACGCCACCTACCGGACAGCATGCTACGACGCTGCCGACCACGAACTCGACTGCGTCACGGACGCTGCGTCAGTATTTCGCGTCGCCTGCAGTCCGTGCGACGCAGAGTGCCTCGGCTGCGCGGGACCCACGAACGCGGACTGCGTCACGTGCGCTCACGTCGGCGTCACGGCCGTTGACATGGCAACGCAGCAGACGAACGCTACAGACGCGGTGGTCTACTGCGTGGCCGCGTGTCCGGATGGATTCGAGGCGGCAGATGGCGCTGTGTGTGCGGAGAAGGAGAGAAGAGGCTGGATACTGTTGTTAATGATTGTCGGACTGGTGTTGCTACTGTCGGTTCCCCTCAGTCTTTATCTGTATCGCAAACAGAAGGCGGCGGAGAAGAAGAGAAAAACGATGGTAATTATCGAATACAACACGATTAAATGTTAAGGCGAAGAATAAACTCAGCACTAAAACAGAGAGGCGGTAATGGAGTATACATGCGCGTAGTATCCTCATCGTCGTCATCATCATCATCATCATCATCATCATCATCATCATCATCATCATCAATCCGCTTCGGTCCAACCGGAGCATAGGGCCTCCACAGTCTTCCTCCATCGGACTCGGTTTTGAACTGTCCGCTTCACTTGTTCCCAAGACATTCCAATCTCTTCATATTCCTGTCTGATGGTCCTTCTCCATGACTTTTTCGGTCTGCCTCTCTTCCGAGCTCTTTGTGGATTCCACTCCAGGGACTGTCGTGTGATGTTACTCGCAGGTTTTCTGAGCGTATGACCAACCCATTTCCACTTTCTACGCCTGCTGGTGACTTCAACTCTCTCTTGTTTTGTGCGCTGACAGAAGTCTTCATTTGATATTAGTAATGCCGCGTAGTATAAACAGCATGAAATGTGAAACTCGCGCTTTTCCTTCGTCGTCAAAACAGTCAAGTATCGATCCGCGAAATTCAAATTCAACAACGAATTTGCATTCCGGTGCTTTCTTTCTCTCTTTCTCTCTCTCTCTCTCTCTCTCTCTCTCTCTCTCTCTCTCTCTCTCTCTCTCTCTCTCT